ATACAATATAGTGGGATACACCAGATCCCCTGGGTTGACCAGACCCAGCCATGAAAAGGGCCCACCAGGCCCACCATACCTAGGTCACACAATACCCTGAAATTCGGGAAATTAAACCAGACCCTGGTACATAGGGCACCAGACCCAGCCATGAATAGGGCACACCAGGCCCACCATATATAAGTCACACCAGACCTTAATAAAGAGGGCACACCAGACCTAGTTACATAATGGAAGAAAATCTTGAATACAAATACCAAAATTGAACTATTAATAAACAATTCAGGCACAGGATGTTCCCCCACTTAACGCAAGGAGCTACGGGAGGAATGGCCCCTAGTGAACCTCCAGGGAGCCATTACAGTGCCTGTCACAACAAATGTAAACTGTCATAGTATATTTACATTGTATAATAGGGCAATTAAAAGTGAATGTAATAAAGTTGTTGGCCGTTATGATAGGGCAATGAAAATGTTTAACCTGTGTCTGTCTAATTCCCGCCAGAAAATCTTCCCCCGACTGAACCAACGGGAGGAATAATCGCCTCTTAGTACACATCCAAGAAACGAATGGAATTCAGTAAGGCATAAGACGTGTATTCCTACTTCAGCAGCAAAAGATTTTGGTCCCACACGAGTACCCTACGAATGGAGGTGATGGGGGTGGAGGTGGGCAATTTGACAGAAAATTATACACATTGTGCATCACACAATGGGCTGTGACAAAGTGAGCCTAAATTTGCACTTTCTTTTCCCACCAAAGTCAACCAGTAATATAAGAAGCTGCCCCATTGGCTGAAAGTTTGATGTTACATGGGTTCTCATTGGTCTAATCCTTCTGTTTTGATTGGCTGACTCAGTATGCATAAATTAACACAGGATCCCGTTTACAATCCTGTGTTTTTCACAAAAAGTTAAATGGCATTTTAAGTAAAAAATCCTAAACCGAATCTGAACATACATGCATGGAAAGAAAGCTGATAAAAAGTACTTTACATACATGAGAAAAGTTTTCCACTTCAGAAGCTGTTACTGTGCAGAATCTTTTATTTTCCATCCCATTTGTAATGTCATTTGTGCAAGTCAACATATTTACCCATCCTCACACTCTGTCCTTTACAGAATTGCTACAAATTTATTGATCTTTCAGTGAGGCAAAAACAAACAGCTAAAGATACAATGGTTTTCACAAAGTGCAGTGTCCTTTTATAAGTGGAACTTCACTCAAAGCTTAACACACACACATAGCCTACAAGTAGAAATGCATATTCATGAAAAAGTTTGCCAACTCAGCAGCTGATTGGCTGCTCAAGATAGCTCACTATCCTGTGTTGCCACAAGGTTTGCAATGGCATTTTGTGCAGTAAATCTTTACACAGATATGCATGTATGCATGCATGCACAGTGTGTTTCCAAATAGTGGAATTCTACTGTGGGACTTCGATAGCAAAGATAATTAGTAAATCGTACATGTATGTAACACAGCTGATTTCGTATTGTGAATGGCATGTACACAGCAGTTAATTAATTTGATGTGTGATATACAAGTGTGCTTCTGTGGCAATTTCCTAAGCATTTTGTCACACATGCGTAAGTAAAAAAACACCAACAGAAAAATTCTGATAATAAAGCATTTGATCATTTATTCAAATGATAAAATTTCTTATCTGTATGCAGGTACACGGTTGTCTAGGTAAAAAAAAAAAATAGTCGGTCTCTGGTCAGCGCGCACGTTGATTTTAATCATGCGCGTCAACCTTTTTTTTCTTCAAATTGTCCGCGGTAGCTACAACAGCGCCCTCTCTTGCCGCACACCTCAAATTTTTGTACAAAGGAATGGGGGAATTGCACCAAGGCAAGTGATGGAGGGAACAAAGGCAAATTATGGAGGACACCAATGTAAATGAGAACACAAAAAAGCAAAAAATCGTACTCACCTTGTCTGTACAATCCAAGCTTAAAAAAAGCCTCCCCCCCAAAAAAAAAAAAAACCGCGTCGGCGCATCAGTTCCAGAACTTTGGTCTGACCAGAGACCGACTATTTTTTTTTGGCCTCAGCTCAAAGTATATAAAATTGCTAATGTATATCGTCATTATGGGAAACGATTAACCCCGCTACGTATATCCACAAGTCGTTTCCTGTAGCAAACTGACGCTACTAACGATACAATATTTTATCAACAACAGCAGGGCAAATACTTGTCTTTATCCGTTCGGAAGCAAACACCCATGGGGCAAGAATTGTATTTATTGTGGACAGCCTTGGAGTTAGATGCAAAGACAGCGACCTCGTGTAATTAGCATACGACACTGCTGTTATACAGGGAGGATTGTTGCCGAGTATCGGGTAATTAGCTCACGTTTAATAGAAAATATACAAGTAAAATTCAGTACTCTGACGCCACTTTAATATTGCTACCTTTATTGTTATGCCATTGAATGCCACAAATTATAAAAGAAAAGTTTGACTAAGGCCACACGAAATTCGTTCCCCTTTTATTATTATGTTTAATAGGGATGGTGTGTTGGTAATTGTTTTTTGCTTGATAGTTTATGGCCAACGGAGGTATTATGGAATGAATTTGTTACTTTTGTATTGATATTTTTAGCAGGCAGGCATTACTAACAGTGAACGTTTAAACTAACTTTTCATTCTGGATTTGCTGCACTGAATACTGCGGCGAGACCAACTGCCGACCAACTTACAAAAACAAATGAACTCCGAGTGAAACATGCAGGACGATTTCCGCAAAAAAAAAAAAAGATTCAGTGTAATCGAATCTAGAATTGAGAAAGTATCAGACATTGAACATGGTAGAGCTACAACATGCAATAGAACCAAATACACCAGAACCGACTTTTTTCTTCTGTATGTAACAAATCCCGTGAGTCAACAGGTGAGTTAGGTCTCTATTGGCACTCAAAGACTTGCTAAGATGGGAAATTTACATACCTATTAGATACCCCAGAACATTTTCTCGCGATATATTTCCGAATTTTGTTTGTGAGAGAATTTTTTCGTGGGGTGGCCTGGGCCAAAAAATGTTGTATAAATGATGGCAAATGTATTGCTATTGAGCGTCAAGATAAACATTAAACAATGATGACTGACTTCAAGAATGTTGCTTCTAATCAGAAGGCATCATTTATTTTACAAGTAAAATCCTAAGTGAATGGATTGCATAGCGTACGAAACCAAAGTGACCCCTAACAGACCGCTACCCATCAAACCCAAATGGCATGTTTTGTTGGAATCTGTCAGAATGAGTAGGCCTACAGTTTCCTTACTAAACTTAGTCTTTTACATTGGGTTAGCACACCTCAGAAATATATGTGTGCAGTTTCCCATATGGTGTTGGAATTTGCCAGGATGTGTATTAGTTCCTTGTAAATCATGCTAAGGATTTAGGGTTTTTATCACATTCGTACTTTGATTTAAATCAGGACTTAAATCAATAATTATAAAAAATCACAATCAATCAACCCTGTTCCCCAACGATAATCTACGAACTGGAACCCTCAGCATCAAGTATATGAAGAATGTCATCGGATAGATTGATCTGTCTGTGAAATGTGAGCATGTGATTCAACACATCTGAACTAAAATTTGTCTTGACATTTTCAACAGAAATTCACAATTGGCTATGTTAGCAATACACCGGTTTCGATGCAATTCTGCTAATCTGATTAAAAAGTGATTATACGTGTCTGGGTATCAAATGAATAAATGATCCAAAAAGCGAGATTATATAATGTCAAATGAATATCGAATATGAGCATTTATACAACACTCGGTGCTAACTACAATCATTGCTCGATCTAAAAACTCTATACTACTTTTCAAAACAGATCTCCAAAATACTTCTTTCGCAGGCATTCACCAACTGTTTCTGGTGTTTTTTTTTTTACCTGTTAAGTCAAATTGTGTTTCTACGTTTACTAGGCAACCATTGAGCAGTTTCCGTTGCCTTGCATAAAGAACTTCTTTACAAATACAAAAGACTCTCCTTTTAAAAAAAAGGTGATTTTTTTTTAAAGGTAATCAAGATATCATTTTATTAAAATGAGCTACATTTCATATTTTTTTTGCAGAAAAATGCATATGCACGTGCCATCTGTCTACTAAGAATATAGGCCTTAACAGGTATTCCAAATATAAAATGTAATGTATGTAATACACTATTTATCTTAATAAAAACCCATGTGCAATACGTTAAACCAAATAACATTGCTATTGTTTGTTCCTTCTAGTTTTATTGCGATACCGACAGATGTTAATTTCCTGATAACTTCACCCATTTTTATATAAATGATTTTTGCAGCTTGCAGGAATCTGTGAAGAAATTTCCCAATCGGCAAGTTATCATTTGCAATAAAACATGAATGGCTTATTATTATTTTACAGTTTTCACAGGAATATATTTTACAAAGTTTAGATAACGTAGGATCTTATTTTAAAATGTTGCAATTAGCCTGGCTAATGGTTATATAATACAATGCTGGAAATTCACAGAGTATTTTAGATTAAAAAGTTTTAGAATATTATTATTATTACATGTAAGCATTTTCTTCTTGAAAAACAATGACGCATTTGCGAAAATCCGAATATTGAAGTAATACAAATTACGTAACTGCATGCGAACGTTTCATTCAATGATGGTGAACAACAATAATACCTATGATTAATATACCACTGTCCATGAACTACAATGTCAATCGGAGAAAAAATGGCATAAGACGCTTAAAATACATGTTTTAGTTATTATTTTAGCTTGCTACCTTCTTTATATTGTTAACGATTTCATTCTAAACCACGGGGAAAAAAAACCTTGAAAGATTAAATCTTTTTTCTTAGAAATGAAAGTGAGCAAGGAGTGTGTCCTTTGTATCCATCTTGATAAGCAAAGATTTTAATATGTTGGCCACTTGAAACAGACTTTTTCTTTCTTTTTCAAACTATTTTCTTTTCGGATATTTCTTATCGGGGAATGTGCAAGGCACTTATCTAATGACAATTTTATTAACATAATCCAAGGGATCATGGGCAGCAGTCGCGTGGCTCCCGCTGGTTTCTCCGTCACTACACGGGCCGTCAGCACCAAAGGCGGTCTCCTGCTGCATCGGGACCAGATAGCTGTCGTCTGTGACACCAGGTTGTTCGCAATGTTCGATGAGTCCCATACCAACCACACCCGCACTAGGAGCTGCTACGTAGTCGCGGTCTCCCTCCAACAGTTCTTCCAGCTCGTTGGCAACTTGGACGAAGGTGCAACGTGACTTTGGGTTGTCCTGCCAGCAACGTACCATTATGCCGTAGCTGTGTCAGTCAGGTAAAGTAACAGGAATTATTAGATATGCTTGCTTGACAGTATCAAATTTTGTTTGCATTTTTACTTGAAACCCCCGACAGTAAACTTTTCATTATTACTGATTACTCGACACTACCTTTTTTTAAATTCAAATTTGAAACCCCAAGAGTGTTATACCTACTTAAAATTAAGTAAAACTCCTGAGAGCAAAATAGGTACATAAAGATTCCTTTACCTTCGGAAAAAGTTGAGTGAAGCATAAAATAGCTTTGCATACTTTTTACAGCAGTTAAAACGACATTAAATTTGTTAGGTGTATTATTAAATGTAACGGTGAGCGCTGTTTGAACATACATTTCTGGCGGGCAGTTCTTGGGAGCAGCCATGCGTTGACCACTCTTCAAGAAATCATACACATCTTGGTTGGGTATTGCTTGGTACGGTCTTGCACCCTTACTGAAAATCTCCCACAGGAGCACACCGTAAGACCACTGTAGAAAACCAAAGAAGACGATTATTTCTCAATCTAAGAGATCATTCTAATGAAGCATGTTCAATAATTGAGCTACAGATCAGTTTACATGAACTAGCTGGAAAGGGTAGGCAAGATTAACGAAGATTTACCAATTTATACATTGTATTGGAGCCTTTATTGAACTGTTTGATATTTGGTGTCAAATGGAAATAAAAAGGTTAATAAGTAAGTCATTTTAGAAATCAGTTCGACGTGGGCGTCTTAAAACGAAATACTTCTGAGGGTTAGGCGCCTTGAAAACATATCCTATGTGAATTATCAATAAATTGACGTTTTATGACTTGGCACCGAAGTTTTTGTAGTTTCTCTTTGATGGATAGTTCCACAGAACGCAAAGAGATGTGTTTCGCTTTCTTTTCTTTCAGATCTTCATCTAAACACATCATCTTTCATTCCAATCAAAGATGGATTAAATTGCGTACCACGTCAGTCCTGGCGTTGTACACTCGACGTTCCATGGACTCGGGAGCCATCCATTTGATAGGCAGCTTAGCCTGGGCATCGCCGCTTGTGTAGTAATCCGATTCGTGCATGTCACGGGACAGTCCAAAATCAGCTATCTTGACCAGAAGATCACTATCCACCCTAAAGAGGTTTAAATTCTTCATTTAAGAATGGCAATACAATTAAGTCAAAGTTTACAGATTACTACCTGGTACATCTGGTGCATTAAAATTATTTTTTGATGAAACACCCAGTTTTTGGTAATATTATCAAATCTCTGGAGTCAAATTTTGCATTCATACAAACACGTTTATAAAGACATATAAGAAAGGATACACTTACATGCAATTTCTGGCCGCGAGATCTCTGTGGACAAACTTGTGCTGAGCCAAGTAACTCATACCGAGTGCGGCATGTGAGGCAAACCTCATCAGAAGAGAAGTCGCTAAGGTCTAAATTAAAAGTAAAAACATCCAGTGAATAAATAAATACCACACTCACAATCAAACACATGACATACTGTATACGAAATGGGACAGCATTTTGTTCAATAAATCTTGTGACTGAACTGTTAATTGCTAAACGTAACAACATCTACCAAAATCCCCATTAAGTGAGTTCCAAACTCATGCCACTCATCACCTATTCTTTTATCAAACCTTCCTCTACTTATTATCGACATTGATCGCTCTTGACTACACACCTGTTTCTTCTTGACCAGATATGTCTTGAGGTCACCGTTGGCCATGAAGGGTATCACCACCAAGGGGTTTTTGTCTACGTCAAAGGTCAACCCCAGAAGCCCCAGCACGTTGACATGGTCGAAGGTTTTCATGATCAGGCCTTCCTCCAGGAACTTCACCACATTTTTCGGGTCCGAAGTGTCTGTACAAGCAAAATATTGCATTAATATGTGACAACTGGCACGCCAAACTAACATTTGGCCAAGATACTTCATAAAAACAGCAACTCAATAGTAATGTCATAGTAATTTCATCATCACAGAAATATTTTAATTCATTCCAGTTCAAGAACATTTTACAAGTATCTCCTGATGACGAACAGAGCATACTGTTCGAAACGTCGAGTTAAACCAACTGTTTTTTCTCAGAAACACGCAACTCAAAAAGATATATCATTCACATTAAGTCTTAAGTCTCATTTTAAATTTTTACATACAACCCACAATTTGCAATTCTGAATGAAAAGACTATTTCGCTCTTTCATTCAAGACGCACACTGTTTTTTTGCTGTTTTAGTTTCTTTTTCTCGGTGTAAGGTCATCCAACACCTTTTCTGTAAATCTACTCAAGTGTAATCAAGACCAAAATGCATGCCCCTTCGAAATAGGCCCTTTTTAAATCGAGGGACCACTTTTCATTGCTGTGTTTAGAATCTATACTGTCATAGCAAACATCTCTCACAAATGGCCAACATTCTCCTCACCAACCTTGCACTGTCTTCACTGCCACATTTTGATCTTCCCCTGACGTGTCGTGTAAAACAGCTTTCAGTACACGCCCAAATGCACCTGTAACATGTGGTCAAGTGTAGAACAGCTATATTCGTTTATATTGATTATCTGTTGCTGGTACTGAAGAACTAGTGCGAAACGTGAAAATGCGTTTCATTTAAGGGTTTTTGCACACACAACCCTGTACTTAATTATGTAGGCCTCTTCTTCTCGTGTAAAACAACAGCTTACACTTTGAACTCATGAAATGTTCATTGTTTCATCTTGCAAAGTCACTACCTTGTCCGAGAGTTTCTCCCAATTCCAGTTTGCTGAAGTTGATATGAACCTCGTCGGGAACGAAGCTGACTTTGTTGTTCAGGACAATGCGCTTTTGTTTTGGCTGAGCAGATCCCGACTGTTGCTGGGATCTATACCACTTGCGTCTTTTGGCGTGGGAGTCAATTTCTGAAGAAAAGAGATACAATGTCACATTAACAGTACATAACGTAATATAGTGGTAAGTTTACGAGCACGTTGAGATTTACAAATCGGCAGACAAAACAATCTCTGCATGCTACACAGGATTCACAAGTTGTATAAAATGACATCTTGACAAAAGAGTTCTTTATTTATTTTTGTTAAAGAGGAATTTGTTTTATCGTGTCTGCAACCTTACAATCAACTGAGGAGGTTGCCATTTGAATTATTTTGCCATGTATTTTACCATCAAAACCGGCTGCCCGTTAGCAGCCATCTTAAGGAATATTTTTCTATAAATAGAACATAATTTAATTTTAATACGGAGATGTGCAGCTACGCATGAACTGTTTAATTTTGTTTTTAAACTATTCTAAAGGGTTTCGGGTTGTTTTGATTTTAATGCCATTTTGATTTTAATGTGCAAGAGCTCAATTCATAGGTAGACTGAGATTATACTCTCTTTTCATCGCAGATTAGTGAACCCTCTTTTTTGGCACTCAGGAATATAATATTCGAGTTAACTCAAGTCATCTCTTGCCACCAGCACTTACCGAGATGAATCGCCATTATCCTGCCCAATAGTCTTCGGTCGTGGGTGCGCTTCCTTCGCAATTGTCTGCAATACACGAAGGTAGCAGCGAGCAGAATCGCCATGGAGAGTGGGATGATCAAACTCGGTACAAGTATAGCGACAAGTGGCACCGGGGGATAGACCAAATAGCCCAACCGAGATTTTAAGTTATTATGGAAAACCTTTGGAATGATACAAATGAAATGAAAAACGATGCAACAACTGACATAGACTTAACCAACGTTATAACAATTACTTTTGAAGAAAGAATCAATAGTGAAAAGTATAGTGTAATTAGTGTTTGGTGAGAAGTGATTGAATGTTGGGCGTTTGTGTTCCTTTTAGGGAGGGAGTAAAGAGTTGTTCATACCATCTGAGGAACATGAACCTTAATCATTTTCAATCCTAGAAGAGCCGGTTTTTTGGTCATATTACATCCGGGGCGGTTTTCTCTTCAGATTTTGGGAATGCAATGACCAAATACTATGAAACTCTGCTTTGCTATCAGGCAAATTAATTTGTTGAGTGCTGTGGCCTCGTGGTTAAGGGCACTGATTCGTGGTCGGTTGGTAAAGCTGCATGTTGTGGGTTCGAGTCCTGGCGGGGTCATGGTGCGTGTGCCCTTGAGCAAGGCACTTTGCCACTAATTGCTTCTCTCCACCCAGGAGTAAATGAGTACCTGTGAGGGCAGAGATGGTTATTGTGATTGAATTACCTTGCGCCTAACAGGCTGCATTGAGCTGTATACTTCCCGGTGATTAACACATGGATCCACCCCTGACTTACCCATACCACAGGCAGACCTTTCCCGGTATCTCCTCCCATGTAGTCACCGGCTGCTGGTGCCTCATCGGGCAATTCACATACGAGTGTTGTCGCACTGAACAGGATAATGGGACAGCTCTCTTCGCTGATCCTCACGATAATTTCTCCCTCTGTGATAGCGCTATCAATCCGCTCGCCCTGTCGAAGCATCCACAGGTAATTTAAGCTACATTGTTTTAAAGGAAAGTTATTGGTATCTGGATTGGTATATTTCGGAAGACTTTAGTCTTTTCGGTTGTGACAAAATGTGCAACACTTGTTTTACTTCTAAATAGAAAGGTCATAACCTATGTCCCACGTAAGACTTTCTGTCGTTGTTCATGTACATGTACTCCAATACACACCGAGTGAAGACTGAGGTAAAAAACAGAACCTGTACTTTTATTTCAAATTACATTTACATTTGCTTTTGATATGACTGATCTGAGATTATGAAGTTTTGTAACTCAGCACGAGTAACTCAAATAAGCCCACTGTATTTTTGGAAGACCCACGTGATTCAGGAGGAAGAGATACTAACCTGAATTTATCTTTAGTCACATAATGAGAGGTGACATCACTTAACAAAGCACCAAACAAGTGTGCTTCGTGCACGTTACCGACAGGCCCCATAATCTACAGATAGAAAAACACAGCCCACTGAAAATGACAAGCGCATAGAATGAGACACGCATACCATTGGCATGCATTGGTAGATGCTTTGAAAGACAAATCATTCGGCTTGGTGGCTTTTGCAGTCATCCGTATTGGCCTACTTAATATAAAAGGCACTACACAGTCATAAAAATGTGGCTTTTTTCATCTGGCACATGACAAAATTTCCCTTTTTTTTCATTCTGTCACAAAGGCAAGCCAATTGGATACAAGGTGTGCTTCATTTGGTGGCAGTATTCTTTTATACTATGTGAGAACTACGGATAATTATATACAAATATGTTGACAAGTAGCCTCACCTGAAATACTAAAAAAGAATATTCAAGATACTTTAAAGTGAATAATATATGTATTAAACTGTAAAGTTTTACAACCTACCTTACTCAGAGATGGGTCAGGGCAGTTCAATCTGTTATCCAAAGTCACCATTTGTTCCCTGCAGATTTCACTCGGTTGGCAAACACCAGACTCGCTCGGCATGGCAACACACCAAACACAGTCAAGCGCTGGGCGGGCTGTAACACAGCGGCTGCAGTCTGGCTTCTGGACTTCACACTTGTACAATGTACTGTTTGATAATGAACAGAGTTTAAAATGATGTCATTTCTTACAATTCAATATTTTAAGGAACAACCTCCATGCCAAATTGTTAATAACAGTCAATGAAAATTATGACCATTAGACTGACGAAAGCGTAAATTTCTTCAAGCAGTCTTTATTCCTTACCAATAAATCCGTGTATGTCATCCAGGATGTGCTCAACACCGACGGTGTCAGCCCATGAAACAGTCAGTTTCACTTCCATCTCTGGTTCATCATGGGAGAGGTAGGTATACTGTTGAAGGCAAGCAGTCAACCTCACCTTTAAGTATCTTAAGCTCGAAACATGAACCGTAATTTACTTTCATTGTTATTAAGGAAGAAATTAGCAATCCAAGGCACAAAATTAGTTGAACTTTAACTTACAGCCTTATCTCTGCAAGTAATTAAATCTCCATTGCGGTCTGCATTAACAAACTGAGGTGATCCCTCTACATTTAAGCTGCACTGATAGCTAGAAATCTGCGCATGGAAAAGAAAGGGTGTAACAACCAACATTTGGCAGAGTTAAGTGAGTCAGGAAAGAGTACAACTAAGATTTACTTGGCAGTAATTCCTTGCATGGACTCTGGTAAAAGGTGTTTAACAGTAAACAGCTTTCTTTGATGTTTAAATACTTGACAATTCGACGCAATGTATTTTAATGCAGTTATTCAGCAAATCCAATAAAGTGTATAATCGATATAATGCAGACTTGTATTTAGATGCCACCTTAGGGCAATTCAAAAGCAGCCTATCATCGAAACATGAACTTCTATCTGAGCACACGCAAAGTTAACGATGATAATAATATAATATAGTGTGCTTGAAGCATTTGCAAACTGCTCCAATTATAATGACCTAAAGTTTACATACTGTCCGAAAACATTGTTATCAAACAGTGAATGATAACTTTGCAATTCCCTTTGCATTGAATTCAATGTATAGAGTCAGATATCTTGATCATTTAGCAATTTAGCAAAATAAGAAAATGCAGTAGGGCTATTACACGGGAGAAAACTGTATTATCTCCTTAAGAAAGAATTAAGCAGAGTGGTAACTGGACTCAGAGAAATCTTGTAAAATGTCATAATCGGACATTGACGAGGCAATTTAATGATAGACGGGGATAGACGTGGACATCATTTACAGATTGACATTATTTGTGTTAGTTGTGTGAATAAACAAACCTCAGCTTCGTCTGGCAGGTTTGTAGTCGAGACAGTTATTCTCCTCATAATGTTATTAGGAAGCAGAACTTCAGCAGTCTGGTTCAGCAGTTGAGGGCAAAACTCAGGTCCTTTGACTGCAGAAGCGGCTGGATTCTGTAGGTAAAAACCAGCAAACATGAAGTACGTGATTATCATTAACTCTCCAACAAATATAAGCCTGATTCGACAGAAATCTGGAAAATGAGCTTGTTCCTAAAACACGAATCCTGCCAGGAAACATAGGCCGCACACTTCATGATAGCTTCAAAACTTTTATAAAACCCTACCCATCAGCCATCGAATTAAATTGCTTCCCAGTGTCACCATTAGTGTACGACTTTATAGAGGTTATAAAACTTCAGAGATGCAATATGAAAAGGGAAAAAAAGCGAATGTGATATGGGTCCCTCTTTAGTTCCGGTCAAGCTATTAGAGTTGATTTGTTATCACTCCAAAACAGTTCCGCAACCCAAAGCTGATATATGCATGCAAAGCGGTAGGGGAGCTACCTCCCAATTTGTGTGGTTTTCAGTAACCAACGCGCAAAACACTCAGTTATTAAAAATTCAGCACGTGATCTTTACAATCAAGACATTCAGCTAAAATAACTGTATGAAAAATGGATTCAACTGCTGCAAACTGACTGGATTGACCGAAAACCAAGACTTAAGTCAAGAATGAAATACCAGGCCAGCTAATGTTTTTAACGATTGTGTTGGTGTAATAGCTTGTATAGTTCACCTTACGTTATCTCCGGGGACGATGATTTCATAAGCTTGTGTGCATGTGGAGCTTTCATGAGTACATCTGTTCTCAAACACGCACCAATCGCAGGCCCAACGACTGCCAACGCAGGATACACAACTATGCAAACAACAAAAGCAAATGCAAGTAGGATCGATTTTAAAAATCGAACACATAAAAACGACTGGATACTAAATATTACGTATTTAAATACCAAATTTTACTGACAATCAAAACTAACTTAAGCTTTCTCTACTCGTGCTCTTAGCATGTTCCACTCCTTTTTTTTTAGTCCTGACGAATTGATGTTTTATGGGTAATAAAAGCTATTTTTTATTTTGCACGTTTTTTAAACTATACTGCTATTGTACGTTATCTTTGCGTCTCGGACCGCAAACAAATTCCCCAAAAATTAAGTAATCAGCCATAACTAAACACGGTGGGTTGCTTTGTTTTATATCTCAATGTAATGCCAGTATAAAATTTACATATATTGGAGTAAGCTTGAACACAGAACCGTTGTTAGAACAACTTAAAACTTAAGAGTATTTAAACAAAAGAACCGAATACTCACGAAGTGTGAGTTGAACACTCGTAGAAGTAGAAGTTGGTGTCTACGAAATAAACTGAAGTTTCGGTCGACTCGACATCCAAATCTACGTACACTGCATCATCTATGTAATAGGTATGGGGGAAAAATCACTTAATTTACTAGTGGAAAAAGGCACTTTGAAAATGAGTGTGTAATTTCAATAGCAACGAACTCTAATCGGTGCTAATTGTTAGGACCCAAACTAAACAACGCTAATAGAAGCCATTTTCTGTACCAAATGTTTTTGGCAATGATCACATTTTCTCTGTCGATATCCTGTGAACTTCCCCTTCATGTAATTAAAAACAAAAGACAGGCTGATTCAGAAACCCCATTCATTATAAAAAGGACAAGACATATATCATAACTCTTTTTCAATGTTTGTTTTATATATTGTCCCATAAATGACGTCACATGGATGTTCTTTATTGCACTTGCCTCCTTGTGGAATGGCAGGTATCCCATCACTAGGAGGTGACGTACACTCTAGTACTTCACCATTCTTCGTAGCTCGAGATTCGAATGACCCGAAATGACATGCATAACTCTGGCCGGTCCCTAGATCAGGTAACTGCTGCACAGTCAGGGTGATCTAAAAGTGAAAGTATAAATACTAATCTTTATTTCATTCCTATTCAAAGAACTGCAAGAATATAGATCCAGTGGTCATGGATACTATAGACAGAGTTGAAATAAAACTTGGTGATAAAACACTGAGAATGTACAACTGGTATAGTACGTGAAGTACAACCTTCTGTATCCTTCCGACGCTTAACAATATATTTTCTGAGAGAGTCAAAATTTCAAAACATATTAACATAATGAAAAAGGTATATGAATATGTAGATGTCAGAAAGCTAAATTTCAGTCAGAGAACAGAAAATAGAATGGCTGCAATTTCTACTCATCCCCATTAAGAAGGAAGGTGCATGAAACAATACGTGAATTTAAATACAGATGAAAACCCCCCACATATTTGAAGGCTGGAGATCCCTGGGAAGCAAACAATTAAATTATTATGCCTTATATGTCTATTGAAAAATAAGCTTCACATTGACGTAAAATACTTCCGTATATGTAAAACCTATATCTGGATCAGTCAATAACAAATCTGTTTTTCAAAGTTGAAGTGTATTTTCTGAAAAAGGTTTAATTTTTTCCCTAAGGATGCAAATAAGATGTAATTTAAATACATCTGTTTCTCACCTGTTGCTCAGTGACTGTAATTGGCAGGTTATCATATGGAGCTACATCAGTAATATCAATGCACTGAGCAGCATTGTAGGCCAACCATCGAGTAGAGACATCAGCTGATGGACAGTCTGAATATGTCGTACATCTGGAAAGAATTCAATTGTTCACATTCATGTTACGTTGTATAATTATTTACTACTTATTTTCATGCAACCTTATATGTTTGAAACAGTCTTTGGCCTAACGGTCAAACGACCTAACGATTTCGATTTTACCATATTTGAAGAGGTGGTGAAAATTTGCTGTGAATCTGTGACTGTGGAAAGTGATTCCGTTGGAGACTGAATCGTGAATGGAATGAACCGATTGCAAGCCATATGCCAAACCGCGTTTAATGACTATAAAAACTGTGAGTTAAACTTTACCAGATCTTTTGAGTAGGACGACTAAAAGTTGACCTTGGGCTTGAATTGTTGTGAACAATGAACATTACAATCAGGATAGCTAAGTAGAAACTTTCTTATGAGAAACATATCGGTCTGTCATCTCTGAATGAGATGAATCGAGCACATGCGAAGCTCATTTTCATACAATACGTTTCCAAACATCCATTATGATTATATAACGCCAATAGTGTACTCTGTAACGTTACAATGAATACAGCGAAGCCCGATATTGGGTGTGACTGGACTTACCTTCGTTCCAGAGTGCACCATCCACAATATGGGTCTCCATCATTCCCTGCATCAGTCCCAATACACGTTTCGCACGTAGTGTATTGGCTACAATTCTCCACGTGCATCTTCACCAACTATATAGAGTAAAAAATATTGTACTTTTAAATCTAAATTTTGACCGAAAGTGTTTGATTTCAGCAGAAAGGGTGCTATCTTTTTCCTTCAAACCTTATGAAAATGGAATGACTTGATATCTAATTGCAATGAACAACACACATGCCGGTCAAATTTATATCTTCAGTTGTAAACAGCTGACCTCTCTATCTATACACTGCTAGGATACATTATCTTGTGTTAACCAGTCAACTTCCGACTTCTTTTCGTTTGAGAGAAAGCCTCCAAGCCAACCTCTTTGTGTGTGTTTTTTTTTTAAAGGTAGAGCACAGAAGCCGCATAAAAAGTACTTCTGCAGTAATTATATTC